CCTCCCGCCAAACCCCAGCTTACCTCAGCTTGCAGATTCTCATTCTCAAGGTCGAGGTCATCAAGTTTCTTGTGTGACGTCATCAGCTCTTGTTCCAGCATTTCTAGCTGTACACGCATCTGTGAACAAAATATAAAATTTTTGCGTTTTGCTTCAAGACCTTATTCTTACCAAATGTTATATCTGCACTATCAAAATCGCAAGATTATTCGGAGTCGTTACAATATAACATGCAAAGCATTGCATTCGAAAAAAGCTTCACATGTTGTGAAACTCAAAATTTTAAAGTAAAAATTTCTCAAAACTAGGCTCAGGTATGTGCAGATGGAAATTTGTAATTCTGGAGTAGCGATATGTGGGGCTGCACCAGGCTGGGAAGTGAAGCTCTCTCGTTCTTTTCTAAGCTGATGTCTATGTTCTTTGTATACGTGGCGTCAGTGGCCTAGTGGCTTGGCTACCGGACTCGTAATCGTGAGGTTGCGGGTTCGGGGTTCGAGCCGCGGGCCCGACGTGGGGTGCTTGGGAAAGACACTTTACACGAATTTTCCTCACTTCACTCAGGTGGGAATGAATACCCGGCCATAGACAGCGAAAGATCTTGTCAGTATGTTAGTGTTTTAGTGCATATAAATGGCGCTTGCGCTGTATGCTTCCCAGGAAGTTGAGGTTGTTTCAGAATGCTCTCAGGTCTGCTGGGGTAATAGTATACATTGTGAAGCGCATAGAGCTTGCTGTTGAGCGGGAATTTGCGCTACACAAATGCTATTATTACCATTATCATGATGATGATGATGATGATGATGATGATGATGATGATGATGATGATGGTGATGATGATGATGATGATGATGATAATGATTATTATCATTACAATTATCATTATTATTATTGTTGTTGTTATTATTATCATACTCGCCAAATACCCCCACAGCCTCACCTGCATGACGTTCATGAGGTCCTCGTCGGTGGAGTCCTTTCTGTGACTGACAGGGATAGGCTCCTCCCCTTCGATGATGTCAGAGCCCTCCGCCCCGACCACAAGAATGACGTCAGCTGACATGTCACCGCCGTTGCCTACGTCACTGTCCTGGGAGAACTGTGACTGCAGAATGGGTTGCTGGGACAACAGGGGAGACGACTCGCCTGGGTTGGACATCTGTGACGTCAGGGCTGTGGAAAGTTGGGGTGGAATAAACAAAACAGTCAACGAATCTTGTCTTGTAAAAGAGGATATGGGCACACCGGGGCTTTTGGAGTACAATGCTGTACGCTGACAAAACGCCTTTTATATTCATAGCCTTTTCGAGATTTCAAGAAAGGCGTTTTGTCAGCGTTCCCATTTTATAAAGACTTTCTTCCGAAATTTGAACTCTAATTTTATTTTAAAAACTAGTCAGTTCCACTTTGATGTTTTTCACACAAGCAGACATTGACTATCAGGGTACCGCGTTCCTTCCTGTTGTCTGTCTCCTTGATCAGCTCGTTTTTTTATTTCAGTTATTCATTGCAACGTTGTTCAGGCCATTTGTGTAAATTATTCCGTGCCTTCTTCTGTTCTTCTCCCCCCCCCCCTGTCTTTCCCAACAGCACCAGTTTCTCTAGGCCATTTGATCTATATATATATGGCAAAAGAATCTCCATTGTCTTTTTCAGATGGTTCAAATTATTAAATCTTTCACAAGACGAATGTCTTTTCTGTACCTGCTCGCACTGCCTCATACTGTTTTCTTTCCTCCTTAAACGTCTACTGTTGTTAGGCTTATATAATATGGACAATTGTTAGGCCTAAATAATGTGGATAATTGTTAGGCTTACATAATGTGGACAATTGTAAGGCCTATATAACATACTGTTGACAAGTATTAAGCCTATATAATGAGGACAATTGTTAGGCTTATATAATGTGGACAATTGTAAGGCCTATATAACATACTGTTGACAATTATTAAGCTTATATAATGAGGACAATTGTTAGGCTTATATAATGTAGACAATTGTTAGGCTTATCTAATGTGGACAATTGTTAGGCTTATATAATGTAGACAATTGTTAGGCTTATATAATGTAGACAATTGTTAGGCTTATATAATGTGGATAATTGTTAGGCTTATATAATGTAGACAATTGTTAGGCCTATATACTATGTGAGGCCTCGTGGTGAAGTCAGGCACTCGTCAAAATACAATACTGAAATCGAAGAAACAGGCATTTCCCCACCAGTTTTGCAATTTTTATTGAATTTTATGTCTTTTGGCTCAACAC